TGGGGTTTTTAATGTGTCAGACTTCCACACGGGGTTGATGCTGGGGGCTGCCTCATTGTGGACTCTCATTCAGAGCCGGGCTGGGCTTTATACTCCAGGCCGGCGGGCACAAATGCAGCTTTCTCGTCCTTGCTCCCATCCCCTCTTCTGGCCCCTCGGCTCTGCCTGAGCCACCTTGCTGTCTGTCGCAGTCAGACGCCCATCACCGGCTCTGCCTGAGCCACCTTGCTGTCTGTCGCAGTCAGACGCCCATCACCGGCTCTGCCTGAGCCACCTTGCTGTCTGTCGCAGTCAGACGCCCATCACCGTGGCTAGTGCATCCTACATTCAGGCTGCAAAGGCGCTCTCAGAAACCATGACATCATGATTCGACTTTAATGGAAGAGGTACTATTGTGTCCTCATGGCAGTCACCCACTCGGTTCTCTCATTTTGGTGTTGCCTGGGGGAGACGGAAAAAAAAAAAGAATGAAGAGAGTAGCACACTGAATTTATGGAGAAAAAAAGAGATAGTTTTCACATTTTCCAAGGACATGTCACCTCTTCATTCTTGTTGGCCATATCCTCCTGATAGTCGAAGTCGTTAAAAAAAAAAAAAGCTATTCAATTACTTAGGGATCTTTAGGTGTGTGATATAGTTTAAGACATCTTCACCAGGAACATGCATAGAAGACATGAAAGATAAGTTCTCCAGGCTTGCTGGGAACGCTGAGAACCATGGCTATGGAAAACCTGGTGACATGAGTCCAGAGGGGTGCCTTGGTGTGGGCGACAATGAACGAGGCCGTACATACTCATGACGAGGGAAGCTGGGAGGTTTTATGAGTAGGAGACAAGGAAGTGCTGAGCCAACAGACTGAGACTTCAAGCTGCTGAGGTGTTGCCAGTCTAGCAGCATTTCTATGTCTTTTTTAAAGATTTATTTATTTTTATTGGAAAGTCAGATACACATAGAGGAGGAGACACCGAGAGGAAGATCTTTCATCTGCTGGTTCACTCCCCAAGTGGCCACAGTGGCCAAAGCTGAGCCAATCCGAAGCCAGGAAACTCTTCCAGGTCTCCTACGTGGGTGCAGGGTCCCAAAGCACTGGGCTGTCCTTGACTGCTTTCCCAGGCCACAGGCAGGGAGCTGGATGGGAAGTGGGACTGCCAGGATTAGAACTGGTGCCCATATGGGATCCCAGCGCGTTCAAGGTGAGGACTTTAGCTGCTAGATTGCACCGCCAGGCCCTCACATACATTTTTCATTTTCTTTGGATATTTTACTAGGAGCAAGATAGCTGGGTCATATGGCAAGTTTATTTGCAATTCTCTAAGCACTCTCTATACTGATTTCTATACTGATTTCCATAGTGGTTGTACTAGCCTACGCTCCTACAGCAGTGAAGGAGGGTACTTTTTGCCCTACATCCACACCAGCAGGTGTTAGTAGAGTTCTGAATGTAGACCAATTTCACTGGAATTAGGTGGAATCTCAGTGTGGTTTTCATTTGTATCTCCCTGGCACGAGGGAGCCTGAGCATCTTTTCACATGTCTATTAGCGGGTTGAATTTGTCCTTTTGGAATATGTCTGTTCATTTCCTTTGCCCATAATGGCTGCTCCACTTTTAATCCAGCTTTGTGCAGTGATTTTCTATGAAGGTATTTTAGAAAGTCCCGGATCTAGTGTCTAAAGGGGAAGATGACCATTATTTACCAATGCAAATCCCTGATAAGGCCCAGGTAGGTTGAATGAGGCAGCGAGCCTGTCCTTAAAGTACCACCATGGCTGCAGTCAATTGTTGCCACGGAAACACAGGAATTCCAATCCAGATTGTCTCTCAGGTGAGATTGCTTAGTTTTAAAATAAAAGTTATCTGGGCCCAGCAGGATGGCTAAATCCTCATCTATAAGTGCCGGCACCTCACATAGGCGCCAGTTTGTATCCAAGCTGCTCCATTCCCCTTCCAGCTCCCTGCTTTGTGGCCTGGGAAAGCAGTGGAGGATGACCCAAAGCCTTGGGACCCTGTACTTGTGTGGGAGACCTGGAGGAAGCTCCTGGCTCCAGATCAGCTCAGCTCCAGCTGTTGCAAGCCACTTGGGAAGGGAACCCGTGGATGGAAGATCTTTCTGTCTCTCCTTTTCTCTGTAAATCTGTGTTTCCAGTTTTAAAAAATCTTTTTTTTTTTTAATAGTGGTCATCTCTCGACAGATTCAAATGCTCTGTGTGTGCTCAAGTCTGTTAGCTGCGGACCCTAAGATGCATCATTGTCAAGGCTTCTTCCCATATCCACCCTTGAATTCAGTGAACCTGAATTACAAGTGAGGAGAGAAAAAAAAGTCTCACTAAAATTTGCACAGCCGTTCACTTTGGGATATAGCAGAATATTTTCAAGGCAGATCCATCCGACACACACCCAAGGCTGTTGCGTTTTCCCCGTCGCACTCTCCTAACACCGATCCAATAACGCCAAGTCTTCAAAGCAAAGAAGCATCGTTGTGACCCCGCAAGCGACTGAGGACTTGGGTCTCACCTTTCCACTTAACCTTCTCTGGGAAAACCCACTCCGCCTTCAGGGAAAGCGAATTCCTGAACAACTAAAATGCCCACGGATTATTTTTTTCAAGGCTGCTATTTCTCTGATATCAAAACTTGCTAAAGACAATCATAAAATACGTGGTGACAATGGATCCACTTTTTTGAAGATTTACTTTATTTTTATTGCAAAGTCAGATATGCAGAAAGGAGGAGAGACAGAGAAGATCTTCCGTCTGCTGATTCACTCCCCAAGTGGCCACAGCTGAGCTGATCCAAAGCCAGGAGCCAGGAGCCTCTTCCAGGTCTCCCATGCGGGTGCAGGATCCCAAGACTTTGGACCGTCCTCGATTGCTTTCCCAGGCCACAAGCAGGAAGCTGGAAGGGAAGCGAGGCTGCTGGTTTTAGAACCGGTGCCCATTTGGGATCCTGGCTCAAGTCCTTTGTACCCTGCACCCGTGTGGGAGACCTGGAAGAAGCTCCAGGCTCCTGGCTTCACATCAGCTCAGCTGTGGCCATTGCAACTATTTGGGGAATGAAAGAGGGAATAGAAAATTTTTCTATTTCTCACCTCTCTGTGTAACTTTGCCTTTTGGATAAAAATAAAATAGATCTTTGATAAAAAAACTGAACTTGTCACAAACTAAAAGTTGAAGGAATTTAAGAAAATGATAGTGTTATCTTTTTAATCTTTTTAAATTAATGTATTTACTTTGAAAGGCAGAGACGTAGAAGGAGACAGGCAGCGATCGATTCTCCATCTGTTAGTTCACTCCCTAAATGGCTGTAGCAGCCAAGGCTGGGCCAGGTGGAAACCAGGAGCTGGAAATCCATTTACATCTCCCACGTAGGTACCTAGGGCGTGATGCCCGAGCCATCTCCTCCTGCTGCCACAGGTTCCAGTTACCAAGACGCTCTACTCCCCAGCAGGGCTGGGACTCGAACCCGGAGAAACACAGATGTCTTAGTCACTGCGCTGAAGGCTCACCCTGCAGTTAGCCCACTTAGAGACGGGGGTTGCCCGTCATCCTGTCCCCGCGAGGCTTGCCCTGTGCTCTGCAAAAGGCCTCTGAGGTTTTGGCCAATGCAATAGGAAAGGAGAAAACTATACTATTCACAGATGATAGGATGGGTACATAAAAATTCCTAGCAGTCGGCTGGTAAGTTACTAGAATTAATGAGATATTTTCACAGTGTGATACGAGATTAAATAGGCATAAGTCCACCTTTCAGAAATGCAGCAAGAATGACCCCATTCTCATTATCTGAAAGCAACAAATTTACAAAAATTATGCAAATCTATGTGAAAAATATTTTTAATACTATTGATACAAAAGCCCTAAATAGAAAGATATCTTGTGGAATAGGAAGCCTAGTGATTTTGAAACTTTAGAAAAGGAAGAAAATTTTAAAATATTTATGAGCAAATATATCACAAAACTATAGTAATTACAAGGGTGTTTAATACATGGAAATAAGTAAGTACTTAACAGAATGTTCAGAAATATGTATGACCCATGAGTATATGCATATTTATGCAAATTTAAACATATGATCAATGGTGGCACCCCAAGTAATGAGGAAAGAATCAATTATTCAACAAGCAACATTGGGGCCAACAGTCACTTGTTGGGCAACAAGTTCCGTTGCGATCTTATTGGGACAATTTCATGGCTAAGAATGATTTCCAAGAAGGTCAATAGGCAAATATGAAGCAACATCTGTGGGCAAGAACGTTATTACAGGATGTTTTGCTATTGCAAAAAACCGGATCACCTGAGTGTCTACCGGGGAGTGGTTCAAGTGTATTTGTGCGAGTGTACCATACCTACACACTTTATTTCTTAAAAAATAAAGATCTATTTGTATTTATTGGAAAATCAGATACACCGAAAGCAGGAGAGACAGAGAGAAAGACCTTTCGTCTGTTGATTTCACTCCCCAAGTGGCTGCAACGGCTGGAGCTGAGCCAATCTGAAGCCAGGAGCCCAGAGCCTCTTTCGGGGCTCCCACACGGGTGCAGGGGCCCAAGGTTTTGGGCCGTCCTCGACTGCTTTCCGAGGCCACAAGCAGGGAGCTGGATGGGAAGTGGAGCTGCTGGTATTAGCAGCGGCGCCCATATAGGATCCCGACGCGCTCAAGGTGAGGACTTTAGCTGCTAGGCTACCGCGCCGGGCCCGGAAAGCCACTTTTTTTGGTTGTTGCTTTAAAGCTCAAACAGATTCACACATGTTGACCTGCACGGATATACCCGGAGCGAGGAGCAGCCAGCCTCGTCCCCATGACAGACCCTCCCGCGCCGGCCTAGTGACAGCCAGGGGGCGGGCTTCCGGGGGGCGGGGCCGGCGCCGATTGGCCGGCGGCGGGCGGAAGTCTGGCGGCGCGGGGGGGGGGCTGAAGACGCTGGCTTGTGACAGGGACGGGGCGAGGGCAGGTCTCCGTGAGGGTCGCCTCCGTGTGCCTTGGCTCCCGGGACCCTTCGGCCAAACCCCACAGCCCGACCCCGAGGCCAGCCCGTTCCTCCAGCCTCTCTCCGCTCGACTTCGCCACCGTTATGTGGGAAGCGTATCCGGTGAGTGGCCGGGCGGGACGGGGCGGACCCGGTGGGCGGAGCCACTGCCAAGGGGGCTGGGCTGGAGGTGGGTGTTCCCTGGAACCACTTCCGCCCCCCGCACTCGGGGAGGCTGGGTGATGAGTTCCGGGGCGCCGCTGGGAGGGTTGGTCGACGCTTTGCGGCGCTCCTCTAAGAGCTTTGTGGTTTACTTCTAGGGCTTCCACCGTCCCCGGCTTTTTACTTCATTATTTTTTTTTTGAGAGGGGCGGGTGTTAAGTTTGTGTCTTGCTGTCTTCGCGGGCCCCATCTAGAACGGGGGCCCCGTTTTCCCCTTGATGGGGAAGTGTGGTGGGGTTTCCTGAGCCGCCTTTCACGGGCCGAGGTTCTAGAAGGTTTCTCGGTGTCCTTTTTGGGGCGAGTGACAGCTCCCGGCCACCGCAGAGCGCGCTGGAAGCCGCCTGCTCCTGTGGCAGAGGGGGACGCGGACGGGCAGGTGTGAAGCGAGTCCACCCCATGGACGCCGCGTTCCGCCCGCCCGTTTCTGGAATAGGTTTCCGGATAGATGGTTAGCGGAGTGTTTTTCCCTTGGTGTGTTTGTGTGTGTGTGTTTAAATCTGATAAGTAGTCCCCCGGCCTGGATTTTTTTGGTGGTCACATGTTTGTCGCCCCACACGGGCTCATCAGAGCAAAGTCTCTGATGGAAGATGCTTTACATGAGGAAAATGCGCTCTCTGATGATACACGCTGTGTTTCCAGTTGCACTAACAAGCAGTCTTCATGTTATGTCTCTGTAAGTCCATGTGGCTCTGTGTTGGATTTTATTAGCTGCCCTTTTCTTGATTTCTACATTAAAATACGCTCCTATCTCCCAATTATGTGTCTCAAAGTACGTATGTTTTAAACCCTTCGTTGAATTGTTAGTTCCGAATGAGCTTGGAGTTTTGCCTGTTTTTACCCTTAGAACCTCAGCACAGCCTGGCACCTCGTAGACCCTCAGCAATTGCTTGTTAAATTCACCATGGTGATTGGGTCTAGAAAGTTCTGTTCTAGAAAGTTCTTTGCTCCCTCCGGTGTCACATACACATTTTGTTGTGGGATCATTTTTGAGTTTGTGACAATTAAACAGGCATTGGTCACTGATATATTGGTCTTTTTATGAAAAGCCCAGTTTGCCCTGAAGTCACTTACGATTTGATTTTTGTTAATAATGTGAACCACCCACATGGATGGCCCACACAGCCCTGTCACTGTGATGTCTGCGGCTTTTATTACCTGTAGCTGCTGTGTCACCTCAGTGGCAGAATGCTCCACAAACTCCGGGGTGGCTTGCCGTAAATAGTACCATCCATACCATTAAAAATATATATTTATTTTTATTGGAAAGGCAGATTTGCAGAGAGGAGAGACAGAAAGATCTTGCACCTTCTAGTTCACTCCCCAAGTGGTCTCTGCTGCCAGAGCTGAGCTATTTCAAAGCCAGGAGCCAGGAGCTGCTTCTCAGTCTCCCATGCGGGTGCAGGGTCCCAAGGCAAGGATTTAGCCACTGAGCCATCGTGCTAGGCCCGCTAGTTAGCTTTTAACACTCATTTCACACATGTGTTTCTATAGTAAATTGCCCGCTTGGTTTTACAATTCCCAGTCACTCTAGAAGGGAGCCATGTATACCTGACAAGGGATGTGTGGAAAGAGGTTCACTCAGCAGCAGGCCAGAGCTGCCCAAGTCCGGCACATTCCCAAGAAAAAGGTGTTCCTGTTAACTGCCCTTTGCCCAGCTCCAGGAAATTAAGCTCTTGAAATGCATTGGCTAATAGGAATGTATTTGTGTACCTGAGGCCTTCAGTCATGCTAAGCCAGTTTATCTCGATGGCTGTTAGCAGCAGCGGGATTTGTGGGGAGCACCTGCTTGCCCGCTTGGTGCTTCTTCACCACAAGATCACACAGGCGATCTTTGCTCAGGTTAGTGATTGCCAGAAAGAACCCTCACCACCTAGGTCTCCTGTCATCACACCTGTCACCACACCTGTGTGCTGGGAGGATTATGGCCCACAGGACTCCACTGGGACTGGCTCTGGAATTCATGCCCGTGTGCTTTGTGTCCTGTCACTGTGATAAACTGTCCTAGTGAGGAGAACAGCTGCGAGCTGTGAGTCTCCACAGGTCCCGAGGGGGCTTGTGCAGATGCTGGACACCAGGAAGAGCTGTCAAATGACCTAACAGCAACGTCGCAACCGATGACCGAGGAGTTGCTGCCTGAGATCATGAACAAGGCAGTGGTGCCCATTCCTTATTCCAACTCCTGCTCAAGTTTCAAGCAGAAGTGCTAACGCCAGCCTACACTCTGCAGAAAAGAAGTGGAGCTGTCTGTTCAGAGACTGTGAGGCGTGTGGAGTCTCAAAAGACAAAAACAAAACAAAACAAGACCAAAAAACCAGCTCCTTGCTGTAATAAATGAACTGAGTGAGATGTAGGCCCTGTAAGAAAACTGCAGATAGCTCCTTAAACTGGTGATGTCATCATCAGAATGGATGTAAAATACAATTTCATTTGCAGCAGTTTCCAGAAAAATGAAATCATAGGGCTAGCACTGTGATGGCAAGTTAAGCCTGCACCTGTGGTGCCAGTATCCCATGTGGGCACTGGTTTGAGTCCCAGCTGCTCCACTGAAAATCCAGTTCCCTGTTCATGTGCCTGGAAAAGCAATGAAAGACAACCATCTTCTTTTGCTTTCCCAGGCACATCTGCAAGGAGCTGGAACATAAGTGGAACAGCCAGGACTTGAACCAACATCTGTATGAGATGCTAGTACTGCAGGTGGAAGCTTAACTTACTATGCTGTATAAGTGTTTTTAACAAGATAACCGTGTGGGTCACCTCTGTATATTCATAACCTCAAGACAAAGAGACAGTGACCTCAGAAAAGAGAAACAGAAATTTTACTGTCACAACTATAGATGCACAAAATGGACATTTCTTTTATTGAAGAAGTCTCAGTATTTTTACCCACCCTTTTTTTTTAAGATTTATTTTATTTTTTGTTGGAAAGGTAGGTATACAGAGAGGAAAAGAGACAGAGAGGAAGATCTTCCGTCCAATGATTCACTCCCCAAGTGGCCTCAATGGCTGGAGCTGAGCTGATCAAAGCCAAGAGCCAGCAGCTTCTTCCGGGTCTCCCACATGGGTGCAGGGTCCCAAGGCTTTGGGCTGTGCTTGACGGCTTTCCCAGGCCACATGCAGGGAGCTGGATAGGAAGCAGGTCAGCTGGGATTAGAAGCAGCACCCATAAGGGATCCCAGCATGTGCAAGGCAAGGGCTTTAGTCACTAGGAGAGGCCCCATCTATGTTTTTTAAAGATGTATTTATTTGGAAGGCAGAGCTGGACAGAGAGGTCTTATATCATCTGATTCACTCCCCAAATGGGAATCCAGGAGCCAGGAGCTTCTTCTTGGTCCCCTTTGTGAGTGCAGGGGCCTCGGCACTTAGACTGTCCTCCACAGCTCTCCAGGGCACCCTGACAGGGAGCTGGCTCACAAGTGGAGCAGCTGGGACCTGGCCGGGTGTCAGTATGACGTGCTCGTGCCAGCCTTGATCCGTAATCCTTACACACAGAGTCAGTAATGTAATAATGCATTTTCTGCCAAGCCGAATTCACAATAATGCATAAAGTGAATCGGAACTCAACCCTCTACTGTTTGTACCCGCACTACTAGAAATAAAGCATAGATAATATATGGATCATAGAAAATGGTAAACACATGATATTGACAGTTTAACGTAGTGGGGGAGATTAAAGAAAAAAAGAGCCCATATCTGTCACCCCCATTCCAGTCTAAAAGACGAACGTTTGGAGACTGAGATATTGCATCAGAGGACTGGATGGGCAGCAGCCGCAGGAAGGCAGTTCCCCGCCAGCTTTTAGGACTCTTAGCTGTATTTCAAAGATTTGCATTGCAACGAACAGCTGCTCAGGGCCCGATCTCCTCAGAGAAAGTGTTTGCACTTGACTTTTCTCCTTAGCACTGCTCCTGTTGAGATTCTGTGGTTCAGTAGACTGACGCTGTTTTTTACATCTCTTCTTCCTGTGCCGTGTTGTTTGGGTTCTGTGAAAATTCTTTGTGCACGCACTGCTGTTCAGATCGTGATTTTTGCTGAAGTGACACTGGTGCTCAAACAGCAGAGCCGGGAGCTTCTGGAAGTCCTTTATGGGTGTAGGAGTCTGGGCCTTGGGCCCTCCTCCGCTGCTTTCCCAGGCCGTCAGCAGGGCGCTGGATGGGAAATGGAGTAGGACGGGACTTGAACTGGTGCCTGTGTGGAACGTCGGTGCCACACCGTCGCACTGGCCTCAGAGCAATGTGTTTTTAAAATTTTGCTGCTATAACACGTGGAGGACCCCTTCCCCGGAATTTAGTTTTCTTCCTTTCTTACCTGGCATCTTTTTCCTGCTGTGGGAATTGGGGTTTGGGGATCTTGACTTTTAGAATTTCAACATTTAGACTTTTAATCTCTAGGAACTGTGATTTTGGGGATTTCAGATTTTACAGATTTTGATCTTTTGAGATTCTGACATTTAGGATTTTATGCTGTTTGGGATTGTGTCTTGGGACTAGGACATTTTTACCTCCTCGTAACCATTGTGAGCTCCGAGAAGTCACTGGCGTGCTCTACCTTTGTAAATTGCCCATGGTGGACATTTCTCTTGAGTTATATAATTGCTAATGTTTTACATACTATGCATCTTTCAGTAAACAAAATATTTTCAAAATATATCCATGTAGCACTTTGCTAATGCTTCATTCCCCATCTAAAAAAGAAAAAATGCATTTATTTATTTAAAAGATAGAGTTAGACAAAGGGATGGAATTTTCCATTCATTGGTTCACTCCTAAAATGGCCCCAGCTGCCAGAACTGCACTGGTCTGAAGCAGGAGCCTGGAGTTGCACTGGGCCAACTTCTGCTGCTTTCTCAGGCACATCAGCAGGGCACTGGATCACAAGTGCAGCAGCTGGGACTCAAAGCATGCCCGTATGGGATGCAACGACTTTACCAGCTGTGCTACAACACTGCCCCACCTCCCTTCTTTTTAGTCTGAGTGATACAGGTATGCATGGCCAAACAAGATTTGGTCAGCTGGGTCACATATATGGCAGTGGTTTTCTAAGATTATTAGTGGAGCTGAAAATACCTGTTTCAGTGACGTCACAGCTGTCGTAGCATCATCGGGTTCCCCAGGGGCTTGTGATGGTGTTGGTGTGATCAGCCCTGTGCTGCCAGACATAGGGCAGTGCAGCAATACAGTTACGGGCAGTACAGAATATTTGATTATACTAAATGACCAGGTAGCTGGTTAATGTATTTACTGTACTTTTTATCACTATTTTAGAGTATACTCTTGCTCGTAAAAATATAGGTGCGTGTGAAACACCTTGCTGTACTATGCCCGCAGCAACCTCAAGCATCTTGGGTTTAACCACATTTCTTGATTTACATCATTTTCTCTGGTGGTTGAGTTAACCTTGGGTTGTTTTCATCGTGGCCCAGCAGCGATCGGCTACACTGACTGCACAAAGGGGCTCTTGTGGTGTTCTCAGTTAACACTGTCTTGTGATTCCATTTTCCTTTTAAATTTTTATATAAATATGAGACCAAATTTCATGTGTTTTCTATATACAAGTGTAAGGACACAATGTTGCTTCCCCTCCCTTGCCTCCATCCCTCTCTCCCTCACTTGCACTTCCCTCTTCCTTCCTTCCTTATTTTTTGTTTTAATTTTTACAACGCTATACTTTCAGTTTACTTCATAGACACCAGTTACTCCTCCACTAAATAAGGAATTCAACAATTGTAAGTAGAAAACCCACTTCTTAGGGATGTAAACAGGGTCTATAAACAGTAATCAAATCTCAAAGATCAGTTTCACGTAGGTACATGCACGTTTTAGACTTTCTGTTATCACAAGTCAGAGAAAGCATGTGATGCTGCCTTGTGGTGCCTGGGTCCCTTCACTAGGCATCATGGCCGTTTTCCATTAGCTTTGTGACGGCTCACCCCCAACACCCACCAAAACCAAAAAAGTTGTGTTGTGGTTAATCTGTGGATGGACTTCAGAACTTTTTTTTGCATCGAGGTAAACTGACGTTTTGATTCCACTTTCCCATGCACTTTGGTGTGTCACTGCTTGTAGCATCTAGGTTTGTGCAAGTGTGCTCTGTGATGTTAACAGTTCACCTAAAGATGCGTTTCTCAGAACGCACTCTGGTGTTGACTGGCATGCAGCTGGGTGGTTCCACTTAGATTCCTCTGTGATCATTTGCACACAGATTTTCACGTAGATGTGTGTTTTTGCCTCTCGAGTGTGATGCAGAGCTGGTATTGCTGGGTCACATCAGGGTGCTGTGCTGACCTCTTGGAGACACTGCTGACCTTACTGCTTCCCACACCCCCAAGTGGACAGTCTGTAACGTGTGAAGGTTCTAATTTCTCCTCATCCTCAACAATGCCATTATTGTTCTTTATTTCAGTCTTCCAGCGAGTAGGATATTATTGTCTTTTTGTGGTTTGGATTTGCATTTCCCAGGTTACTAATAAAGTGGAGTATCTTTTCATGTGCTTATTGGCTATTTGTTTGTGGGGTTTTTCGAGAAATGTCCATTCATATCCTTCATCCACTTTTAAGTTGGGTGGTTTGCCTGCTTTTGAGCTTTAAAAGCTCTTCATATATTCTTTATAAAAGTGGGTTGTTATGTTCTATAATAGAATATTTGTAAATATTCTTCATTTACATAGTTTGTTCTTTTTACTCTCTTGGAGGTGTTTGCAGCACAAAATTTTTGATTCTGATGTAGTTGCTGTGTTGGAACGTAGTTTAAGAATATTCTCTAGAGGTTCATCTATTGGACACTTGGTTCCCAGAGTGTAGAGGGAAGGGCTGGTGGAAATGCTAAGGGTGGTTGCCTGGGGAGAGTCGTTAGTGTACTGTTGGGGCTCTTGCTGTGGAAGGGCTCAGTGAACAGTTAGAGCTCACGAGAGCGTGTTGTTGGAATAGGCCCCCCTCACCCACCTGCCTTCCCTCTCACCCTGTGGCCTTTCTGTGTAGGCTCCTTCCCTTCCACTGCTGTTGCCACGGGACCCTTCCCCAAGACCGGAAGATGCTGCCATAGTGGCCTGGAGCCTCCAGAACTAAGAACAGAATAAAAATCTTTTCTTCAGATTACCCACCTTCGGGTAGGTTTTTTGTTTTTGTTTTTGTTTTGTTTTATTAGAGTGGAAAATAGTCTAGCACAGTAGTCTGATTTATCCATGGTTTTATTTTGTACCACGTCTAGAAAGCCACCGCTAACTCAGGGACACAGTGACTTATTTCTTTTTTTTTTTTTTTTCTCTTTCCCGCCAAGAGTTCTGTTGTATCTAGGAAACCACTGCCTAACTCAAAGGTCACAAGGATTCCATGTTTTTTTTGCTTTTATTGTGTGTGTCTGTGTGTGTGTGTTCTCGAGAGCTCTGTGGTTTTAGCTGTTGAGGACTGTGATCTGTTTTGATGGATTTTGTGTGTGTGTACATAACATTTTGCATGTGAATTTCCTCTTATCACAGTCTTTCTCTCATTGAAATATTTTGTCATCTTTGTTGAAATCAGTTTATGATAGATACTAGTGTTTATTTTTAGATTTTCAGGGTTTTTTTTACATTGATTTTTTTTTAAAGATTTATTTTTATTATTTTTTTTTTATTGGAAAGGCGGATATACAGAGAGGAGAGACAGAGAGGAAGATCTTCCGTCCAATGATTCACTCCCTAAGTGAGCACAATGGCCGATGCTATGCCAATCCGAAGCCAGGAGCCTCTTCCGGGTCTCCCACATGGGTGCAGGGTCCCAAAGCTTTGGGCCTTCCTTGACTGCTTTCCCAGGCCACAGGCGGGGACCTGGAAGGGAAGCGGGGCTGCCGGGATTAGAACCGGCGGCCATATGGGATCCTGGGCGTGCAAGGTGAGGACCTTAACCACTTGCGCCACCACGCTGGGCCCTACATTGATTTTTATGTCTGTGCTTCACTATAGCTTAGTGGTAGGTTTTTAAATCAGGAAGTGTAAATACCCTATTCTTGTTCTTTTTCAAGTTTACTTGGCGATTTCAGGTTCTCTGCATTTTCATTTGAATTTTAGGATCACTTTGTCAGTTACTGCAATAAGATTAGCAGGGATTTTTATAAGGATTGCATTGAATCTATAGATCAGTTTAGGAGGTATGGTATTTTTTAAAGATTTATTTATTTTTATTGGACAGATAGATCAGATTTACAGAGGGAAGGAGAGACAGAAAGATCTTCTGTCCACTGGTTCATTCCCCAAGTGGCCCCAGTGACCAGAGTTGAGTCAATCTGAAACCAGGAGCCAGGAGCTTCTTCTGCCTCTCCCACATGGGTGTAGGGTCCCAAGGTTTTGAGCCCTCCTCTAGTGCTTTCCCAGGCCACAGGCAGGGAGCTGGATGGGAAATGGAGCAGCAGGGACATGAATTGGCACCCATATAGGATCCCAGCGCTTATAAAATGAGAATTTAGTCATTGAGACATTGCATCATGCCCAGTATGGTTACTTTAAGTCCTATGTCTGTTGATCCATGAACATGGAATTTTAAAAATTGCATTTTAATTTTTAAAAAGCTGTATAATGATGTTTTCGGTGTACATTTTACACATATTAATTTTATACCTAAATATTATATTCTCAGTGTTAGTAAGAGAGGAATAGCTTTTATTTGATCTTGTTTTAAAACTTATTTGATAGGCAGAGAGACAGAGGCAGATATTTTGCGCACCTTTACACCCCAAATGCCCATCCCTGCTGGCACCGAGTCGGGCTGAAGCTGGGTCTGTTTCCTGTGCAGGCGGTAGGGCCTCTGGCACTTGGGCCGTCAGCTGCTGCTCCCAGGGCCAGAGCAGGAAGCTGCGATGGGGAGCAGAGCAGAAGCTTCAACCCAGGGACTCTGATACAAGATGCACAGGTCCCAAGTTGTGTTTTGACCACAGTGCCAAACAGCCGCACCAAGTATATACCTGTCGAATTTTCCTTGTTAATGTATGGAGATAGGATTGATATAAATGTCTATGTTCCTTATTGACGTATAGAAATACAGTTTAGGCATTCGTTTTGTATCCTAAGAGCTGTGAAACTTTTTAGTTCCTAAGAATTTTGTGAGCAAAATGACGTCATCACAAACATAGTTTTTACCCCTTCCTTTTTAATCTAGTTGCATTTTCTTTTTCCTGAGTAGTTGCTGTGATGAGAAGTTTCGGTGCAGTGTTAAATACAAGTGATGAGTCAGGTAACTTTGTTTCCTTTCTGATCCTAGAAGGAAAATATACCATCTTCTATTAGTAGTTATGCAGATTTTTTCTTCTTTTTTTGGTAAATCCTCTTTAGCTGCTTAAGGAAATTCCTCACTGCTTCTAATTGCTGATCATTTTGATGATAAAAGCTGTTGGATTTTTGTGTGTTAGGAAGATCTTTTTGCTTTGTTTTTTCGCTCTGACACATACATGTCTGTTTGGGCTGCTATCACAGAATACCATAGACTGGTTGCTTCTACACAACAGGGGCTTATTCCTTGAAGTTCTAGAAGCCCAAGTCGGAAGGTGCAGGTGGCAGCAGCTCTGGTACCTGGGGAGGACTGCCTGCTGGCGTACAAAGAGCCGTCTGGCTGTGTCTTCACAAGGGAGCTCTCTGGTCTCTTAGAAGAATTCTCATGTCTCTAATCTTACTCATGAGGGCTTTGTCTTAATGATGTAATTGCTTCCATTGCCCCACCCTCAAATACCATTACATTGAGAATTAGCATTTTAACATAGGAACTTTGGGGGCATATAATAATTTTTGCCTCTTCTCCCCACTTATGTCATTCTTGCATGCAAAATACATCCATTCCATGTCGGTTATCCTGAAACTTTTACCTTATTTCAGCATCAGCTCTATACAGTCCAGTGTTTTATCTGACTCTCCCCCAGATCAGACATGAATGAGTTGCAAGGTATATTTTTCTTTCTTCCTGAAGCAGATTCCTGTGAAACCAAACATGTGATGTAGTCCTGAAGTACTATGCTGAAATAGGTGTAGGGGAGGAAGAAGTAAGGAGTGGTGAATCCCAGGCAAGCCCTCTGAGGGTTGGGGATCACTGTACCCCTTTATGCAGGGTCGCTCTGCCTCCCCTTTGGAAGAATCCCAGTAGCAGGGGTTGGGATCCCTCCTTTTTCTAGAATGACATCCATACTCCTGAGTAGGAAATGACAATGTTGATAGCAGCCCTTGGTTTTCCTGGCTTGCTCTTCCTACTCTAGGTTACAGACTGAGATGGTAGCCTCAGGCTGGGATGGTAGCCTCGGGGCCCTGTATTCCTCCTACTCTAGGTTAGAGGCTGGGATGGTAGCCTCGGGGCCCTGCATTCCTCCTACTCTAGGTTAGAGGCTGGGATGGTAGCCTCGGGGCCCTGTATTCTTACCTGCCCTAACTTAGAATAGCCTTCTCATCATTTGAGTAGGGACTGGGTTGGGGAAGGGAGACTGGTGTGCTGTGTCCTTGGGGCAAATTCAAGCCTCTACTGCTTTGGGGCAGAAGGAGGTAAGAAACACCAGTACCTGCCCTTGAACTGTCAGCCCAGGCATCTGGGACAGGCAGGCCCTGGCTTTAGGCTGCGCGTGTTGGAGGTGGAGCTCTACCACAGAGCTGAGAGAATGGGGGTGATGCTCAGATGGTCTTCAAGGAGTGTCTCTCCATTTGCCTTTGTTATAGTTTCCAGAGTCTTTAAGTGTTTGTTAAAAATCATCTCACCGGTTAAAACGTAATTTTTGTTGAGATGATCCTTGTATAAATATCTACTACCAGGTTTTGGGTCATCTTTGTTTCCATCGAGAGAGAAATTTTCCTCATGGTATCATGTTTATTCTAACAGAACAAGTCATTCCTCACTGTGATAAATTTATGAGAGGATTTACAACCAGCATAGTTTTCCTCACCTAGGCCAAGGTTTTGACTTTCAGTTAATTTCCCTTGAATTGGATAATCCGGATGGACCATTCCCAGGCTCCATGAATCGAGAGTCTGCTTGGAATAGATATTATTAACAGTTTTTTCCTGTGCCCCCATTGTACTTAAAATTTTACAAAATGTACTGCCTGTTACATAAGATAGAAAATGATCAATTTTACCCAGATGAAATGAATCTTTTGAAAGCCAGAGTGTCTGTGAAGTGAAGGAATGAAATTGAGTTTTGGCGACAGGAGAGAAGGGATAGCTATTCATGCATGGAGGTGGGGTGGTAGGGCTTGGTAAATAGAAGTGATTGGTAGGTGGCCCGGGGCATTTTTTTAAATCTCAGTATTGCTAACTCCGATTCTAGGGGAAAAGAAAAATGGTATTATTTTCTGCTTTGGTCTTTTCTGACTTTAATTGGAAAATAATGATTTCTCTCCCCTGCCTGTTGAGTTGTGGGGAGAGGATTGTGTAAACAAAAAGAATTTAAAAAAAAAAATGTGAAGTGCTTCAGGAGTGTTCATCTCAGTACTCCATGTGACAGGGTGATATAAGAAGGGGGTCTGTGGGTCCAAACCCACACTGCTGTGACAGAAATCCTCAGGGCCTTGGTTAGAACGCTTGTACTTGTCACCTGGCTTGAAGTAAGATCCAGGACAGTGTCGTGCAGTGCATGTTGCTTATATGCTGTATAGAGGATAGATTTCTATTTCTATCCTTTTTTTTTAATGGAGAAAAGATGAAACTTATAAGCTAAATGTTTGTCTTAACTGTTAGCTTCAAACTCATCATTCCAATATTCCCTGGTTATTTTTGGAGGAGACAGCTAGATTCAGGTCATCCTTCCTTTGCTGTGTGTCTCTGTCTCTCTTAGTGAAATAAGCAAAGGATGAGAGCAATGGTAGGAACAAGAAACAGAGCTCACTGGACATGGGACCTTCAATTTTAAATCTCTGTATCATCAAGTTAAGCATATAAGCTACATGGTGACCCTAAATCTGAAGCTCTTGATCCTAGGGTGTTCTGTTTTTCATTTCCTAGCAGCCAGTCAACTTTAACACATGAAGAAATAAAAACCAGAAAGCAATCATTAATATTCCTTGGAGAGAGTTTCCAAACATGAATAAAAATTAAGCAAGCCCCCTCCATTGAGCTCAGTCAGGTACTGTACTTGATACTTACCTACATTATTTGATTGTTGTGCTAATAACATCCTAATGAGGAGAGGAATCTGTGATTTTCTGTCTTGTGAGGAGGGAACCATTGCCTAGACAAGGTCTAAATGGTGATAAATTGATAGCATTGGTTAACCTTGGCAAGAGGACAAGCAGGTGTCAGGGATGGGCGTGATGCCGTGATGGTTTTGATTATTGTTTTGATTATGCAGATTTAAATTAGTAACTTTAAAACAAGGAATGATGATAGGAAGAATTCCATGTAAAGCTTGACCTTCTTGGACTCGCCTCTTTGTTCTCTCTCTGATGATTTCTTCATTAAAATACCCACCCCAGAGGGCATAAAACCTTTCAGATTATGTGTTTGTGAGCTAATTGGCCGGGGTCAAACTAGGAATGATTGCTAATGCAGTAGAAGGCAGTAATGACCAAGTGTCCGAATTCTGAAACCAGGCTGATCTAGACTTCTGGCTTCTCCGTTATTGACCTCGGTGCCTCCAGTTCCTCACCTGTAAATTGGGAATAATAATAACGCCAGCCTCGATGTGAGGCCTGGATGAGTTATCTGCTGCAGAGTGTTAAGAACCACACTTGGCGCGTAATAAGAGCCATCCCTATAAAGGCTGGCTGGTATCATTACTCTGACCCCTGGAAAACTCTGGCACATGATTGTATATAAGTCTAGACTTTTTTCTGTGTATGTGTGTATACACACACATATGTTCATGTGGGTAAATATAGATGGTTTTCATCAAAATTGGATCATACTATTTCTGTTTTTGTGACTTAGTTCTATATTCAACATCACATTTTGTAAATCTAGTGTCTTCCCATGCAAGTAAATGAAATCATGACTTTCAGGGACAGAAATGAGGTGCATTTGATCTTGCCTGTTTGCATAGGAACTCCCTGGGGTATACAGAAAACCTGGAGTGCATGTTGACGTGGATCTAGTTTACCTGAGTAGCTCAGTGACCTATGATGTGTTTGCTTAACGTGATGGTGATTGGCCTGATCCGTTAGGCAGGGATCCTTAGCATTGTGTAGTGTTTTCCTTCAGAGCCAGCAGACAAGTTATAACACTGTTTGTAACGTGTCACTGTGGGAAAGACAACTGGTATTTGGTTGTTTGTGAAGAAGTAAAATGGTGTTGAAAAAAATACATCGATTATTAATGAAATGATTTCTCCCACCACCTCTCTCCGACTTTTCAGGAGATGTTTCACAAAACAGAAGAATTCTTACCCAAAACAATGGACAGTGAAATGGATGACATGGACACGTCAGACACACAGTGGGGCTGGTTTTACTTGGCGGAATGTGGGAAATGGCACATGTTTCAGGTATCCTCTGCCCTCGCCCAAGCGCCCGCTGGCTGATGCGTACAAGAGAACTCCAGTTATTCAGGGCGTAGATGTCTTAAAAGCCACACGTGGTTGTTTTTCGTATTGCACGTTTTCCCATGAACTTTTTGAGGACCCCCCTGTACAATAAATCTGAATGCAGAACTGAGAAAAACCTACCCTCAGCAAGTCAGATAGTTTAACTGAAAGAAAAAAAAAATGAGAAAATCTTCTAGTCCCCAGGTTTTCCCAAAGAGTTTATTTAGAAGAAACATGGTCACTGTGATTGGGCAAATGAGTGCGAGTTGCTTGGTGTCAGTTCATCTGAGCAACTCCAAGTTTGACTTGGTGAATAAAGAGAAGAGTGAATTTGCAGTCGGCACCTTCTGCACACGTGGTGTTAGTGGTATCACGTCAGGCATCAACCTTCAACTTCCCTCCTTCCTCTGCACAGCAGCTCTGGGGTGGATGTTAACACGGAAGGGAGACTTAGAAAAGCTTACATTGTTCATGGTCACGCAGCAGGTGAAACTCAGACTTAAACCCATACTCAAAATGCCTATATTCTTTTTTCTGTTTTTCAACCTTATCAAGCTATTTAATGTAAGCCACTCAGACCGCATCATGTGGAAAGCATAATAATTTGAACAAAAGGAGTATCACCAATTGTTTTTTTCACTGGCAACTGAAATGATTTTCAGTGTGCTGGCAGGATTTTAATGCTCCGTGTGTGTTGGGAACTAAAGCAGGTGGTTTAGTAAGCGCCCCCCAGTGCCCCCCAGTGCCCCCCAGCCCTCAGTCTCATGTTTCTATGACCGCAGTAACCACTGCTGTGGTTAAATTGTTCAGGTGAACAGCTGGTAAGTGAAACTTTGTGGTTTGTCTTAAAGCCGGATACCAACATTCAGTGTTCAGTTAGCAGTGAAGATATCGAAAAAAGCTTCAAAACAAATCCTTGTGGCTCCATTTCTTTTTCTACTTCCAAATTCAGCTACAAGATAGACTTTGCAGGTATGTTTTTTTTCCTCTCCCCTAATAGTTGTGTGTTTTTAGCATGTTGAAACAGTAAAATCTGTGACTCTGAAGTTCAGGATTACTTGATGCATTTACAAAAAGTGAAGTAAATCTTTTGTTGTTGTTGTTGTTCACAAAAATACCTTTAGAGAAATCTAAGGCTTAAAACTTTTGGAGCAACCATTTCCTTTTGTTAAGGCAGATTAATATTCTTCTGTGTGTGGATTTATGTGGAGGAGACTATCATGTGTCTTGAGTTCGTTAATGCTTGCCTTCTAGGAGCTGCAAACGCCCCTATTGTTTTATTCATTCTCACATTAGTCTTCTGAAATAGACAGGAACCTTTTAATTTTAAAGACCACACTGAGATGTTAAATGAGAAACTCATGAATAGTTCAAGACTAAGTTTAGCAGAAATGAACCTTTCTCCTGGTGTCCTTGCCATAAAAGCTATTTCTTTAACAGAGAAGCCATCTGCCATTTTCTAATTTTGTTGGCTCTCTTCACAGTTTAGCCAGTTCGTCTGCTCATTGGTCCCACCTTAAATTTTTTCTATGATATATGGGCACAGGTTTTGGTATTCCATGGGAGGGAAAAAAAAACCAACAAAACTATTGAATTCAGCTTCTTTATTTTCTAGCCACTAATGTCGGCTGTTTAGTGCTTAGAGACAGACAAGACCCGGGTGGTGGGAGATTCCTGGTGAGACCGTATTTTGATTGCTGCCCCCCACGTCCTCCCTCCTGTTCTTGCTCAGTCCCCATGACCCTTGTCTTTATGACACAGTGTCCTACGTGTTTTATGGTTAGACAGGGCGGTAAAACCTTAAGACATTCCTATGGCTGAACCAAGGCCTAGAAATGATAAAGGTTGAGTTGTCCTGTAGTCATCCCACCTAAGTCGTTCTTCTTGCTTATCTTTACTTAGAATTAAACTCATTGGATTCTTAACTACTGAGTAGTCATAACTTTTTTTTAATGACATTAGGCAAATAGGCTGCCATTCCAGGACTCCTCATACTAGTGTTTCTGCTGTAGGTAGAAGGTGTCGGGTAGATGTTTTAGTCTTACAGGCAAATGCTGGTTTTGAAGCCATGCTGAAACATGTTGGACGTCAGGCCTACATAAATGGTAAAATCCACCAAAGCCATAGGTAGATAATTTGGTAAACCATAAGCTTCCCATAAGAAAATACAGTTTATTAAAACGAAGTCTTTATCAAAGAATCAAAGTCCATACTTGTACTAGGGATTCAGGTTTTCTAACCTATGTTTAAAAAGTTTCAATATTAGCATTTCACATGTGCTATTTGACAGTTTATTAGTTCCATTGAACCTCTGGAGAACACCAAGCTTTCTCTGTAAAAATGGTTAGAAGGAAACTTTAAAAAAAAAAAAACATGGTTGAAGAAAATTATGCTACAGTCTTGGGTGTGATGGTGCCAGTGTGCAAGCTCTAGGAGAAGGGCAGAGCACAGTTCATGCTAGCCTTTGCCTGGATGAGTGAAACCCGTTATTCTAGAATGAAACGCTGTTAAATGAAGAAGATGAAACTGGTCAGAATATTAGGTTAAGAATAAGTACTTAATTTTATGGGAATAAAGAAACGGAAAAGCCAGACCTAGTCAATACTGACATGCTGAAGCATAAACGAAAGTGAAGGAGACCCTTGTGGCCATCACGAGAGTGTTGTATATAAATAGTGTTGGGTCTAGCCAGGTTCTCTGTCTGCTGGATTCTGGCATACAGTTTAAAGAGAAGGCAAGAAATCTGCAAAGTTTTGAAATTCTATGAATTTTGCTAGTTTTATAAGAATAATGTGTCTCTTTTATCATTTCCAAAATTTTTAGAGAAATGGAAGCATGTTTTTTTTTTCTATGCAATAAATAACCAGAAGACTTAGGAGTATCATTTCTCTGTTTCTAGTATTCTTAACTTTCCTAGGTTTAGAACACTTCTATTTAGCTATCTGTTCTAACCTGAGTGTGATGCAGAAACGCCTAGACCCTACACTCTAAGTAGTTTGTGGAATTGGCATCTTTCCACGTGACCTTAGATGAAGCCATGAAGCTGTGCTCCCCTGAGAAGCACCCCTGTGACGTGGTAACATGCATGGATAGCACAGAATCTTCCTTCTCAGCATCTCCCAAAGCCCCATGCCTCCTGCGCCTGGCTCGTAGGGAGGCTGCTAATCCTCCTGCCTCTGCTCATCTGACATCTGTGTCTTTGTGTGCAGAAATGAAGCAAATGAATCTCACCACTGGAAAGCAGCGCCTGATAAAACGAGCCCCCTTTTCTATCAGTGCTTTCAGGTATTGTGAAGAGCAAAGGGCGGGTTTATTCCCTCTTCTCTTTCTTACTGTCTGACATTCAGTTACCTTCACGTTGATCTTTCCAGTCTCAGATCTCTTCATTTGCTGGTGAACTAACGGTGCTATTATTTCCAGTCAGTGTTTCCTTTCCTGATACTCTTTCTTTCTCCGTGTATATTTATATTTTTCAATTCTTCAGAACAGTTTGCATGGCTATGACCTAATGGTCTCTGCTGTAGAACCTTAAAATAACCCACTGTGGTGTGTTTGAATTGTTCGCTTGGAAAGACTCCCATAGGCCCACCCAATGTTCTGGACCATGAATGTTAGGTAATCCCTTCATCCTTGTAGGACAACCTTGACAAGTGCTTTTGTATTTTTTCTTTTTTTAAGATTTCTTTTTTTACTTGAAAACAGAGTTACAGAGAAAGAGAGCAAGGAAAACACACACACACACACACACACACACACACACACACACACACCCCCTTCCATCCGCTGGTTCACTCCCCAAATGGTGCAATGGCCAGAGCTAGGCCATTCTGAAGCTGGGAGCCAGGAGCTTCTTCTGGGTCTCTCAGGTGGGTGCAGGGGCCCAAGGCCTTGACCCGCCTCTGCTGCTTTTTGAAGCCAGTAGTAGGGAGCTGGATCAGAAGTGGAGCACCTGAGTGTGAACTGGTGCCCATAAAGGATGCCTGCACTGAAGCAGGAGGCTTAGTATACTGGGCCATCACGTTAGCCCCAAATATTCTTAAAAATGTAGTAACAAAAGGAGACTCAAACAAGGTGGTAGCACAATGGGACAAGAGTATAGAATTGTCTTCCTTGAATTTGGGTTACAGAATTTCCTGTTTTCTTTCTTTGGAATTATGTTCTGTAAATGAGAAATATAAATGCCAGAAGAGAATGCATTCTGTTATTCATGTGGATGGAATTGAAAGGGACAATCTTAGCAATAACTCCTATATTCTGGGAAGATTCTTCAAGCAAATGTTGAAATTTCTTTTGTTCTGAAATTTTTAGAAGGAAGCTAAAAAAGTGTAATGATAGGGCCTGGCATGGTGGCGCAAGTGGTTAAAGGTCCTCGCCTCGCACGCCCGGGATCCCATATGGGCGCCGGTTCTAATCCCGGCAGCCCCGCTTCCCTTCCAGCTCCCTGCCTGTGGCCTGGGAAAGCAGTCGAGGACGGCCCAAAGCTTTGGGAACCTGCACCCACGTGGGAGACCCAGAAGAGGCTCCTGGCTTCGGATCGGCATAGTATCGGCCCGTTGCGCTCACTTGGGGAGTGAATCATCGGACGGAAGATCTTCCTCTCTGTCTCTCCTCTCTGTATATCCGCCTTTCCAATGAAAAAATAATAAAAAATAAATCTTTAAAAAAAAAGTGTAATGATAACATGGGAAGTGTAGGGGATAACCATTTGTTCCTTCCAAGAAGATATTCTGAAAGAATTAAAGAAATATTTTAAATTTCTGTCATTTTGTTTCCTGGAGCTTTTGGTGTATATTTTAGCATCATGATTTCAAAGTTCTCCAAGTTCTTGCGTAATGAAGCTCTAGAACTTGATTGGAATTCAGAGAATCTGACGTTCTTAGCGGCCGCAGTGTATCTGCATTCTTCAGTGCAAAGTATAGTACGGGAATTACTCTCAAAAGAATGTGTCAGCTGGGAAGCGTAGTAATGGAAAATGTTATAACTGCATGTTATTCCATCTGGTATGCCTTGGGCATGGGGAAGAGGCACAGGATGGTTCTGTCACAGACTGAACAGTCTTAGAAGAAAGGAGAGGGAAAAATTAATGAGTGAATGACGGTAATATGCAAGATAGTAATAAAAGGAGCAGATAGGAAGCATAGTGAAGGTCGATGCTGACAAATTCTTTGTTGCTGGAACTTGGGTGTTTGTTACATGCATGGCTAAAGTGCTTGCTTTTGGCAAGGTGTTAATTAATCATACAGGCTACATTAAAAGTGCAGGGAAGCTCCCTGGTGCACACCATGTCTTGATTCCCATTCATTTTAGCCACATGTTATGCCAAGTGTAAGTTGTGTGTAGGTTTCAGATTTCTCACTTGTTCCAGTAAGGCTCAGAGCGTGGGAAGGGAGGCCTGAGCAGAAGCAGCTTCCACTCCCCAGGCTCCCCATCCTCTGGGTCCACGTCCAGTGGTTTGAAACTGTTGGATAGTTTTTCCAGGATTCTCCAGCTGCCTGATGTGGATTCATTGTGGATGACATATCTAAAGAATGGTAGACAGTCAACAAGAAAAGGTTTAAGTTCGAATTTAGATCTTGGAAGACAACCAGCGCATGGCTGAGGAGTCTTGATATGATTCAGTTGACAGTATAAACAAGTATACAAATAAATGAGCATAAGAATAAATAAGACTTTTGGCTTTTTAAATTGGAAGTTTGGCTTTCTTCTTAGAAATTCCTTTCTTTGCCCACAATCTTTCTCACATTTTAAAGAAACTTGGAAATCTAAAAAAAAAAAAAAAAAAAAAAAAAATCAAACTAGCACTAAGCAAGTGTTTTTGAAAATTGAGTGGTATGTAGTATTGGCTATTTCCCATCAAAGTATACCGTTCCTTTCCTAAGGAGCAGTGCCCTGTAGATATTCAATAAATATCTTAAATCAAGGGCTACACTTCATTACATTTTTTTTGTAGTTATACATAAGAATCCAGCTTAGGAGAAAAGGCTAACTCACTAATAATATTACAGTCAGCCTCTAATACTTGTCTTGTCTTTTGCTGTTTGAAGTTACATATGTGAAAATGAAGCTATTCCTATGCCCACACACTGGGAGAACGTGAACACTGAAGTCCCGTATCAGGTGAGGACCACACTGCCCGGCCCTGCCCTGGAGGAAGCTGGGCAGGGCCCTAGTCAAACTGTGCAAACTTGCCTTTCCAGCTGATTTCTCTGCACCATCAAACACACGAGTACAATGAAGTTGCTAACCTCTTTGGGAAAACAATGGACCGTAACCGAATTAAGCGAATACAGAGAATTCAAAATCTAGACCTGTGGGAGTTCTTTTGCAGGTAAGGCGGTTTCTAATCTGAACCTTCTACCCTCTGAGGTGTTTGCGGCCTTAGGAATGGTGTTTAAAGGTGTTCGTTTTCAGTGCTGTAGGCCGCTTGACTCTCTGTGGACCTGCCACGTTTGCAGGGGATGGAAAAGAGCTGCTGTGCAAGAGAGGGCCGGGCTTCGCTGGAGAAGCTGTGGAGGAAGAAACCATCCTTCCAGCTAGTTTGAATTAGACATCTCTGGAAACATTCCGTTTTGTTCTGTGTTGTTTTTGTTTTAACGATTGCACCATCCTGCCTGTAGCTGTTTGCTTATTGTGTTTAAAAGAACACTTTAACACAGAACCTTCAGATTGGCTGTCTAGCCCAAGGGTTATGGTGTCGATGTAAAACTCAACCCATTACAAGGTTTAGGCCGGGAACGACCCAGTGGATCCCTGTGCTGAACCTGAAAGTGAAGCCGGTCCCAGAAGGCCGAGGTCATGGCCAAGGTAGCCTGCTATGCTGTATTATTGCAGCAACTATTGCTTAGAGCAGATGGTTCTCCGACATATGCCAAGTGAATATTTGAGGGTATGGCTTGATTTCTAACATTTTTAGCATAAACTGAATTTTGTTTTTTACATTTAAACATTTTACTTTGTTTCATGGTATAGTTCCATAGGCTTTGGGGTTGCTAGTACCCTTCTGTAAGGCCCTTCCCTGCTCCCATTGAGCTCCCCTCTAGTTTTACAATGGATGTCCTTTTTTTTTTTTAAAGTTTTCATTCAGAAAAATATCAATCAGGCATGACAATGTAAGTCTGACACGATGAGTGTGTACCCGTTGTTCTGATGTGTCACTGAGATCTGCGTGGTGGCGGTGGTTGCTGGAGTGTTTTAAGGCACATCCCAGCTGTCGCTCCTTCCAGTGTTAGAACCTGGAGGATTAGGCTGCCCTTGCTGTGCTGAGGATGCACAGGGTTCCTGACTGGTTTGTATGGTCTGAGCACATTCTGGGTTTGATTCTCATGGTAGGTTTTGCTTTGGGTTTGTGCTCCTGTCCTGAGCCTTTGGATTAAACCACCTTTCATTTCTGACAATAACTCTTGAGTTCGACTGAATTAAGAAGATTTTAGTCTGCTCCTGTTTAAAAACAGTCCCTGATGGAGGAAGGTCGGTGTTTCTGCCTCTGTTGATCTTATTCTCAGTGAATTCGAAAATGTAATTTTTTTACTTATTTACACACACACACACACGGAGGGAGCTTTCATCTGCTGGTGTTCTCTGCAGCAACTAAAGCCAGGAGCCCAGGAACCTAAACTCTATCTAGGTCTCCCATGTGGGTGGCAGCAGCCCAAGTCCTAGAGCTGTGGTCTGCTGTTTCCCAGGGTACCTAACAGCAGGATGCAGAATTGAAAGCAGGAGAACCAGGACTCAAACCAGGCACTCTGACACAGGATGTGTGTTTCTCAGGTGGCATCCTCACCACTGTTCCAAACAGCTGCCCTAATTATTCTTGATCAGGGCTCTTAAGTGAAGCTTATACTGCCTCTCTTATCATTTGAGTTCCCACTCAATTCTAATTTGTACAGTGACCCCAAAAAGCTGTTTGTACTAAATATTATACTGGACATTTACTGTTGTCATGAGTTCATGATTTTATGTAATACCAGCCTCCAGCTGATATATACATAGCATACAGGAAGCTCTGGCAGATCTGATTTTAAAAATTCCTGGGCATTTGACAGCACACCCATCTATACGGTTTGATGCCATTGCTACGAAACAAATAGTGAGCAGTGGTGGGGTTAGTGCTGTCTGATGGTGTTTGGATTCTTTTTTTTTTTTTTCTATTTCTTACCAATATTGATAAACTAGAGAAATATCTGGCAGAGTCTTGTTAACTGAAGACTGTCCAGGAAGGTGAAAGGTCTGGCAGCTGCGCTGTCTCAGGGATAGGTGAGGGAAGCCTATCCATTTAGCCTCCAGAACAAAGCCCAGGTGGGTGTCCGTAGTTATTTCTGGCTCTCAGTAGAGTTGTTTTATGTAAGAATGACTTGAATTGTTCTGTGTTCAGGAGAGAATGAGCAAGACCCAGCACTGGAAATAATGGGAGGGCGGAATGGGCTCTGTGGGGAGAAACTGCATTCTTAGGGTTGCCACTGGTCAGGAATACGTTGTGTTGTCTTGCAGTACCACAGGGAGCCTTTGACACTCTTGACGCTGACATTGAATAGCCGTCAGGATGATGGGAACAGTGGATTTAATCAGAAATGATCTTTTTTTTTTTTTTGAAATATCTAAATAAACAAAAATGCAGCGAGCAGTAAATAGGCACAAACCTAACTGTCAGGTTTAGCATCTTAGTACTTGCCACAGTCTCTTCCGGTTTACACGTTGCTTTTTAGCGGTGCTCAGCGTTGCAGGTTCAGGTGCAGTGGTTGCCCTCTCCTCCCTTCCTCTGAGACTGCCGTAGCCCCTCTGGTCTGGAACTTTTTTTTTTTTTTACCACCAAGGGTATGTATTCCTATATAATGGTATTGTTCTTTTTGCAGCATCCTTTTTTCATTCAGTATGATTTTTGAAGATTTACTGCATTTAATAAAGTGGATTATCCATTACTCTCCATGTGTAAAACAAATATAGAGAAACTTTTAGATTGTTTTCAATTTTTTTTTTCTGTTACAGTTAGTCCTGCATTGACTGTAACCCTTTCACGCCTTAGAAGAGATAGGGTTTAACTGGGTGGCCTGCTGTCTCCTCTGGCTGTATGGTTCAAAATAGTTTAGCTAACATTTTCCATTCTCTGAGGATGAGCAGACTAAGCTGTAATCCTTGCCTGTGGAATGAATGCACAGTGTAAAGCAGCGTTTCGCTCTTCGTGGCTTTGCTGGTAGGCCTGTGTAGAGCTTAGCTGGGTTAGTCCATCAATCACCATTGCTGTGATTGGCCAACTGTGATTTTGAGTGTAACTTCCAACCTTCAGTCTCTGTGATAACTGGAATTTTTTTTTTTTTATTAGATGACGTGAACCCCATGTCCAAGAGCATTTGAAATTATTTCTTTTCCAGAACTTCATTGTCCACTTGTGATTAATATTAAAGAAATACTTTGTTTCACCAAAAATTACATGCCATTATTGTATCTTTCCGTGCTTTCTTGTGTATTTGTATTGTGTTTTTAGGAAAAAGGCCCAACTCAAAAAAAGGAGAGGTGTGCCTCAGATCAACGAACAAATGCTGTTCCACGGGACCAGCAGTGAATTTGTGGAAGCGATTTGCATCCATAACTTTGATTGGAGAATAAATGGTATACATGGTGCTCTCTTTGGGAAAGGTAATTCTAAGAGTTCTGGATCCGGTGTGAGTCCCAGGGATTTCTCCCTTTTGGAGATGGCCGTTTTGTGGTTCCAGAGACTTGCTAAGCATTAGGTTAGAAGGTGCTGTGCCAGTTTCTGAATTCTCCGAGTTCTTCAGTCCTTCACACATGTGGAAGCTGAAAGGAAGGCTGTGACACCACTGTCAGCTGACAGAGCTCCCGGGCCCAAGCATCCAGACAGGCCAGGGTATTAGGGGAGTTGCTGGATTTTATTTAATTTTTGTATCTAAGTCCTGTCACGTCTAAGCCTGTGCACTAAACTTCTTCATGGCAAGTATGTTGGGAAAGATCAAACAAGCCGATTGTGTTGCATGCTAGTACTAGTGTTTTGTTAAAAAAAAAAAAAAAGAAATGATAGGGAACAGCACTAACCAGCAACAGGAAGTAGTGAGGGGCAGGCTCCCCTTATTCCGAAGCTGGGAGTCTGGACTCTTCAGTTGGTGCCCACTGCCCCGGATGAGGAGAAAGGCATGGCTCTTCCTTTCTGGTTTTCTTTCTCTCCTCCAGCAAGAGAAGGAAGTAACGATGAAAAGGCTATCGATTGATTTAAACAGTGAGAAGACCAAAAGTGTGTTAGCCAAGATCCGTCCATACCATGTGAATATGAGACAGTTCACTTCCAGAACATTTGAGAGCAGTCGCCTCCTTAACGTTGACTGCTTGGGTCCCCCTTGCACTAGTGTCTCCTGCTGCTTTGTGGAATATCCCTACGTCCACGTTCTTTGGGAATGCTCCAGTGTGAAGAGTACCACCTTGTCTTGGAGATCTGTTCCTGGGCCTGGGTTTCTGTGCCCCCAGCAATCCCAGCGAGTCACAGAGATGCGGTTTCGTGGGGTTGGAAGGCATCTCGGGTGACAGCACAGGCCTTGTGCTCAGGGTGCCCTGCTGAGCTCGCAGGGTGCCGCGCAGGGCTAGCCGGTGATGGGAGCAGCAGACCAAGCTAGACACAGGAGGGGGCTCCAGGCAGTCACGCTGCATGCCCTGCCACGCTCTGCGTCGCAGAAGAATTCTTATCTGTTGTGTTTGTTTGGCTGCCTTCTAAGATTTCCTGTGAGAACAGACTCTGGTAGCTGCCACCCTCTGGCAAGGGGATGCTGGGATAGTGGTGGTGGTGGTGAGGACCAGCCACAGCAGCACTTCTGTCCTGTGCAGTCTGCACCACAGCTATTCACAGAGGGACATGTGTTCTCCGGGCCAGCTGCAATGAGGTCCCACCCCTGCTTCCGTGACCAGAATCCATGTGTTTGTTCTCTCCTGACCTTTACAATGTTTTTTGCTTGTGTATTGTGCTATATTCTTAGGAATAATCTTATTTTTTGTTGTTGTTGTTTTTGTTTTGGTCCTTTTGCTGAAGGAACCTATTTTGCTAGAGATGCTGCATACTCCAGTCGCTTCTGCAAAGATGACATAAAGCATGGCAACACCTTCCAGATTCACGGTGTCAGCTTGCAACAGCGGCACCTGTTTAGAACCTATAAGTCCATGTTTCTTGCACGAGTGCTCATTGGAGATTACATAAACGGGGACTCCAAGTACATGCGGCCTCCTTCCAAAGACGGCAGCTATGTGAATTTATACGACAGCTGTGTGGATGACACCTGGAACCCCAGGATCTTTGTGGTTTTTGATGCCAACCAGATCTATCCTGAATACTTGATAGACTTTCACTGATTCCATTCCCAAACCTCAGTGGGCAAGGAAGTCTTTCTCTTTTTTTGCAGGAAGATTTGCTCTTCTGTCATCTAGCCACCAAATGTTAATTATCTAATACTTTTGAAACAGATATAAAAAAAAAAGTGGCCTCCATATAAAAAGACTTACTGAAGGCTGGTTTTCTGCTGTTGTTTTGTTTTTACCCATTATTCATTGTCTTATATGTTAAAAATGGAGATCACAGCCGTGTTAGCACACAGGGAGTCCAGGAGCCCATTTACAGTGAAGTCAGCCAAGTCTCAACGTGGTCATTTAGAGCCTTTAAAATTTACATGAACGCTGGCAGGATAAATGGTTTTGGTTCAGCTAAACCCAGGCATATGAAATCATATGTTCAAAACCTAAACATACAGCTGTAAGTATATCCCTCTAGTGACCACACATCAATGTGATCCTTTATGAACTAACTTCTGGTGTCACTGTCCACCAGACAACATGTGGTTTTGTCGGTCTCCTGAAGTGGCCATTTAAAACCCCAAACACGCAGAGTACAAGCAGAGAAAACAGAAATAATGTTACTCGCAGTGCCTCCCAACAGGCCAACAAGTCAACAAGCCAACAAGCCAGGTCTCCAGTGGCCTTAGCGGGGCAGAGTGCAGCCCGCACTGGCTCAGGTCCTGCTCCTCCAGCCTGGGCCTTTGAACCCCTGCCAAGCTGCCTGTGAAAGGTGTGTACACCTTCAAAGTGGAATGTTGGTGATTCAGAGCATTTATTGCCCCTTTGGGAGCCCCTTCCAGTGATCACTTCTGAAGATTTCCTGTCCCCTAGAGCGAACAGTTATGCAACCGTGAGTTCTCCAGTTCACTTGTCTCTACTGTATCCCCCTGTTTGCACAAAATGCTGGGAACAAGTCTGCTTTGTTGTTTGGGCAGCGGTTGACTGCCAGATCTCAAAAAGTTGGACTCAAGGCGTAATCCTGTCTAATGGAAGTTTATTTGTTCCACCCATTTTCTTATTCTCTTCTAAAGAAGAATAAATGGTGTTTGAGCAGCGTCCCGGGCCTGGCAGTCTCCTGGCAGAGGCTGGCGAGCTGCTCAGCTGCAGTGGCTGTGTGGTGATCTCGGGCACTGATCTTCCATGATTCTACACGAAAAAAATAGAACACTTGTTACCAAGCCTGTGCCAGAAAAATCTTTTCCAAACTCTAGTACTAGTGTTTTCTCTCTCTTACATTCACCCCATTTTGGCTGATTTGAGGAAAATAATTTTTAATTCCTAAACAAAACAAAATTTGTTTTCCCAATAAGTGTCCAATACCTATTATTTCACTTCATTCACTTGAACTGGAAAGGCATCTGAAACAAGAAAAGCCTGGGATTAGAAATGATCATTTTAAAGGCTTTGTAACCCCCAAATCCATGCTTCAGTCCAGTGTGCACTGTAAGGGGACTAGCCCACAGCATTCCTGCGAGTGTGGTTCTTTAAAACAGCCTGGCAGCAGGTGTGGTGCTGGCCGCCAGTTAGACCAAGCGCTGTGGATATTTAGAAAGAGCGTATTAAAATATGCTAAGACCATCATGAAACTATCTGGAGGCAACATCGCTAGGCGCATTCATAAGCAACAAAGTTAGAGAACTAGAAATGCACATTTTTAAAAAATTTTTGTTCTATTTGTGATTTACATATAAAAAGTTTCTTCACTGTGGGTTTTTTTCTCCTCTCCAATTTAACATGTACACCTCTCTTCAGCACTTGAATAGAATAGCTATTGTAGCATTGGGGAGTTACTTTTCTTTGAGACATAGCACAGATCTTATCTCGGAGTGACTGAGAACCCAGGGTGAAGTATTTCCAAGGCGTTGGGAACTTAACTCGCCTTGTTGGTTTATACGGGAGTGGAGCAAACACACTACAGCAACCATTGTGAAAAAGTGTTGTACCGTTGTTCTTGTCTGACAATGTTCTGCTTGGTCGGCCCTTTATGAGAAAGAATTGATTTCGATCCATGTTTTAAAGTAGACCATGTTGAGTTAGCCCAGTGTTATACTTGTATTTCTTTGATCAGCAGCTTGAGTTGAGAATCATGTGACGGTGCCGAAGATGACTAAACACACAGAACCATTTGCTGACTTTCCCTCTTGTCGTCACATGGTGTGGGTGGGGAGAGTGAAGGGAGAGCATTCCAGGTTAATGCTGAGTAGTTTTAAAAACTGTGCATTGAATAAATTCCAGCTGGAAATGACTTATCTTTTACTTTGGTGATATTAGGCTCAGGGTTAAAAAAAAAAACATGGGTTTATAAAAAAAGTTTCATAAATCGTTTAAGTTATGAACAATAAGGTTTTGTATTTTACATATCCTTTCATTCAGACTATTGATGGTAACACTAATAAAGGATTTTTTGGGTCATTTTGATATATGAATATATCTGCTTGATTTATGGTGATTAAAGCTTTGCAGAGCCAGACTGGGTTGTCTGTGTATGTCACATGTTTGTTCCTGTGACTTCTGGATTTTCCATCTTTGCCCTGCTTTATTCCATCCTATACTATCAGCTCAAGCTGAATGGACTCTGACAGGGTGGATGACCTGTACCTCTTGAATGCGCTCCTTGAGGTGGGGGAGGTCTCTTGTTCACAGATGGAATCACCATGAGCCCCCAAACTGCTAATCAGATAACCACTGGAGATCATTTATTCTGTGCTATTGAAAATTCCAGAACACATGCAGACCTGGCCCCTGCAACATCCTTCACTCTTGGTGTGTTCCCTGGCTTAGTGGAGCATGACGGCGTGTTCTGGAGGGCGTGTCTGCATTCACCCAAGGGGTGAGCATCCTGCCACCCATCCAACCCCCAGCCGTGCCCAGGACGTTGAAGCAAGCTGGGCATTTCCGTCTCATCTTTGAAGTTCAGTTGGCCAACAAGTAAAGTCTCAGAGAATGTTCTAATTTTAGAGCTGGGAGAAATGAAGAACAGAACGGTCAAGGTTCTTTGTGAAAACAAGTTTTCTGTTTGCTAAATTCATGCGCCCAGTCTGTGGGCATGTAGGACTTAGGATAAAAATAATGATTTTTAAAAAGTGATGAAGCTTTGATTAATGATGTAGCAGAGTGACATCTTTGCAAATTTGGTTCCTGGACCCACTCAGGTCCTAGAGGCTGAAAGAGGGAAATGGCATTGTGGTCCTAGATTTTATCTAGGTGAGGTTATATATTCTGCACTTATAAAGGAGAAGAAAAGATAATGAAAAAAGTAAACCCCCCCAAAAAATCCAGCCTTTTCAAAAAGATATTTTTGGTCAGAGTTGATAACAAAGTAGCTTTGCTTGTTTTTATCCCTTTGCACTAAATGCTAAATGGAAGAGTTTTGGTGAAATAAGATAATAGTCAGGGCAACCCAGGTGGAACAAGAAGAGAAATACTCGGTTCCATGAGCCTGCTGGATTAGTGCGAATGGGACTCACAGGGAGGGATGAGCCCCCAAAAGACTGCCTGTTCCCTTTCTGCCTGCGGTCTGTTGGCCAGGTTATTTGCTTTCTCGTGTTTTCAGTCACTCCAGGATGGCCGCTGTGCGCAGTTCAGGATGATACCTGGCCTGCAAGCCTCAGTCAGCGAGGTAGTGGGGCCCGGCATGATGGCTCAGCGGTTAGATCCTCACCTGGCAAATGCCAGGATCCTGTATGGACACCAATTTGTATCCCGGATGCTCCATTTCTCATCCAGCTCCCTGTTTATGGCCTGGGAAAACAATGGAGGACAGACCAAAGCCTTGGGACTCTGCCTCTGTGTAGGAGACTGGCAGATGCTCCTGGCTCCTGGCCTCAGCTCAGCTCTGGCCATTACTGCCATTTGGGGAGTGAACCAATAGAAGGAAGATCTTTCTATCTATCCTTCTCACTGTAAATCTGAAAAGCCTTTCCAATAAAAAATCTTAAGAACCAAAGAAGCTTGTGGGAAATGGACTTAAAAGTTAAGTTTATTTAGAATCCATGCAGACTTGTCCAACCCTCATAGAACCTCTTTCTGCCTGGGATTGCTTTCCCTTGGCATTGGTAGACCAGCAGGTTAGCCCTCGACCTTAAACAAGGGAATCTTGCCATGTGGGTCTACGTGGTAAAAGTAGACGAGAACTGAAGAAATCATAGGGTTTGAGATTTGATTCCGAAATTGGGTAGCAGGGACTACTACCGAGGAGTCGGGAGTGGAGTCAAGATTGGACGCTGGGAGGTGGCCCATCTGTGAAGTTTACATAAAGGGAAGAAGACCAAAACAAAGGCAAAACTGTCACTGGTAGAGGAGACAGTCGCTTATTTTGACTAAAGAAGCAAGTTGAGTGTCCTGGGGGGCGGCAGAGTAACTTGAGCTTAGTCTGTGCTTAGACATAACCACGCGTTGAAGCTTTGTTTGGTGTCATTTCCATTGTGGCCTCATAGTAGCCTTGGCTGAGGTTGGCTTTCAGCAGAATCACGGTAACTCAGCCGGGAGAACTAGGCCAGTTTTCAAACCTTGGGAGCTACTCTTTTATTTATTCTTTCTTAATTTTTATTTGGGCTGGTCTCCTTCCTTTATGGAAATGATAAGTGTAGATATCGATCCATTCCACAAAGCACCTATATCGTCTACCGCCTCCGAGGCACCTGCTTAACAGGCTGTTAGCAGTGAAAGTTATACCTTCGGGGAACTTACTCTAGGATAAAAAGAGGTGCAATGCCTGTTTCAGGCCACCGTTCTACTTAGCTCAAATGCCTTTACTCTCCCAGTCTTTGTATACCTACTCAGAGCGGCCAGAATCTGCCTCCAGTAGATAATGCTCAGTGTTATAAAATTGAATCCTATCGAGTATGTGGTCTCTCCCTGTCTGCCGCCCTTGGACCTCTGTGTGCCATTAAAGACACACAGAACAAATTCCCTCTGTATACCAGGAGCGCAGCTACAACGTCAACCAATGCATGGGTCATGCCAACTCCGGATTCTCCATTTCAGCATGTGCATTCTTCCTTAAAGGAATACATGGACTAAATAGGGGTTCTGTTGACCCCGTGCGTTTGGGTCCATCGTCCTACTAAAGGAGACGTTACGGGGTGTTGCGTGTAAGAGCAATGACCACTAGATGGCAGCATCGTACTTCAGAACCAGCACCACCGCATCCTCAGTTACTATGTGAATTGTAGCGAAAAAAGTTAAAGGATTCTGCAAAGGCAACCTTTGATGTCAGACAGGACAACCCCTTGCCGAAATCCAGTTATACAGGTATTTATCCCAGTTACAATAATTGCTAGAATAAAGGGCCCCCAACTATCATCTAATTCTGTTCTTTACTCATCCAATATCTAATTTGATCTCACCAACAATGCTTGAGTCCTTTCTGTGAACACGTAAGCAGTTACTGAGGAGTTGCCGTCACATCGTATTTGTCCAGCTCCTCCACCCAGTGCCCTTCATCCAAGTTCCAGGCCCAATCTGTAGTTGCCCATGGACAATCAACGGACACTGGGCAGAGATGCCAATTCCGTGTCTTGGGAAACAGAGGACGTCAGAGGAGCTGTTATTCCTGGCTATTCCTGGCGAGCAGGGTGCGCCTTTAACCTAAGGGGCAAGGCAGCAATCTACCTACATCTTGAAGGAAAATGCCAGGTGACAAAAGTGAAAGGCGAGGCCTGACACCTGCAGCGGGTAAGTTCTGACTTAATGAAGACAGGAAGATAATTAACTCTGATTTAGATGCATTACACTTGAAAAGACTTCACTAGATGGTCATGGAGCTGAAGGGCAAAGTCAGAGCTGGGAAAAGATTGAAAAGCCATCTTCAGGGGGAAAAAAAGACTGTTCAAGCTGTGCAAGTGTCTGCATTCCCCCGAGATAAGCACTGATGGAGAGGCGAGGCCAAGGATGGAAGTTTAAAGAAAGCTGAGATGCTTCAACGTGGAGAGGAGGAGGAGGGACCATGGGTGGCTTCAGCCAGGCCTGCCAGTCTCAGGGTCCCCAGCTATTAAAGGCTGTTAGAGCTATGGGGGCGGTTTTAGTGTCAACTACTCTATGTCACATCTTAACTCTGCCTTGTACGGCTTTCATGCGTTGCGGTCAGTCTTCCTGTACTGGAAACCAAGCATCTCATCCCTTTAGACCTTAAAGCGAAAATTGCTTGTTTGAGCTATCCCTTGGATAAGATCAAGAAGTATTGAATGCTCATAAATATTTGCCCATGTTGTTTGTGAAGACCGACATCTGAAACGGACGGAGTATCTAAAGTAATGTCGCTAGCACTGCTACTTTGGGGCTAACGCCTCCCGGAGCTGAACGCCGTACTGATTGTTGTGTTGGGAAATGTGCTTGCAAATCACCACCACCACCACAACCAAAAGATCCTTGTATTTCCTCCCTAAAAAACAAAAAAATGCTGGAAAACCAGAAAAATAGAATCTATCATTTTATGATGAACTTTTTAAGTCTAGATAAAAGCCTTTACATTTGTTAGTTTATTTTGACTCTAAAAGAATGACCATTGTAACATAATGCAATGCATGAATTATAATAACTTGCAGCAGCATACAGCTGAGACTAGGGGAGTGTTAAAATGTATGAAGTGGCCCCGTGTGATGGCTCAATGGCTGAATCTTCACCTGGCAAGCGCCAGGATCCCATATGAACTCTGGTCTGTGTCCCAACTGCTCCACTTCCCTTCCAGTTCCCTGCTTTTGGCCTGGGAAAGCAGTAAAGGATGGCCCAAAACCTTGGGACCTTGCACCTGCATGGGAGACCCGGAAGAAGCTCCTGGCTCCTGGCTTCAGATCAGCTCAGCTCTGGCTGTTGTGGCCGTCTGGGGAGTGAACCAGTGGATGGAAGATTTTTCTCTCTGTCTCTCTGTGTAAATCTGATCTGGCTTTTCAATAAAAACAGCAAATAAATCTTTTAAAAGGTGTTTTCTGGTACACACTTCAGGAAGAGTGTCAAGTGCCCGTGAAAACGATCTTTCAAAGGCGTATTTAGTGACATGGGAGATGCTTCCATTGTAACATTAAGGAACATGGACGGGTTAAGCCAGTTATAAGGAGTTTTCAGAAATCCTTCCCCTGGGGAAAGGACTGTGACCCTGGAAAGGAAGTATTCACTTTTAGTTTTGACTTTTCATATTGATCCACCTTTCCATCTTCACAAAAGATTTTTATTCTTAATTTTGTCACCCAACTGCGAGTCATCTCTCATTGCTTTGTTTTGTCCCCAAATCCATCTACCAGATAAAAATTGTGCTAGGGGCCAGTGTGGTGCTACTTAGTAGGCTGTCGGTTCCCCCAATGCTTTCATCCTATAATGCAGTGTGAGTCTGTGTCCTGTGTGCTCTGCCTCCAGTCCAGCTCCCCACCAACGTGCCCGGGAAGGCAACAGAGACTGGCTCAGTGCTTGACACCTGTCACTCACGTGGAAGATCCAGATGAAGCTCCAGGCCGCTGGGCTTGGCCTGGCC